GGAATTATTACGTGAACACTCTTTCATAGATTTTATCTATCGTAAATATGAAGTTGGTCGCTTAAATTATCCATATAAAAATGCTTGTTCCAAAAGCCATTGTGAAAATTGAAATAGCATCACTTAGATCGTTACATGCTGGCTAGTAAAGTTTATGTTATTATTTTAAATGATTACGTGAGAGCAGAGATATTTTGTTTTTCTATCTAAACGAAGGTTTAATTCATGACATATCTTCATTATGAATAATAGTTTAGGTTGAAACCCTAAGTTAAAGGATGCAGTGATACTACCACATCCCTGACTTATTTTGTGATACAAAATACGTATTTTACTATTATATAGATATATAGTACTTTTATATTATTTTAACGTTGCTTTGAAAACATGATTAATTCCTTTATGTATAAAGAATTTGCATTAATTCTTTGAAAACAAATATTCTTGAAGACTGTAGAGAAACCTACCCCTTTCTTTATAAAATTGAAGTGACTTCCATTTTATGTCTCACCATATATAGAGAGAGATTAGTGCAAGAATCAAAGACCAATTATTACTAATTTGCTTAATGCCCCACTAACAAATGGTGTTTAATGGATTTCATAATTAATCATAATGTGAATAAGAAGACTAAATCAAATCAAATCATAGATCTCTCAAGAACCATGTAGGGGCCATGTGTTAGAATTTTTTTCTTGGGCAAAATTTGACATTAATCTTGAAAGAAGATGCTACATTTTCTCAAGTTGCCAAAATGCCAAAAAAAAAATGAACTGTAAGCAACTAATTTAGACTAAAAGAAAATGGGAATATGGATTCTCTTCTCTCACTCACACATAGCAAATTTTGTCAAAAATAACATTTGACTTTGGAAATATTTAATGTGCATTTTCACAAAAAATAAAAATAAAAAATTGACTGCTAATCATTTTGTGGCATGTCTTTCTTTAATACAACCCCACTAACTCCAAAAGGTTTGACAGTTTTTTGCATCCATTTAGACCAAGCTATTGATCTATAGTGATGTTTTATCTCGATTAGTTATTTTATGAGGTATTTGCTATCTTGCATCGATACAAGTATCTGGCACGAGCATGTTTAAAGACTACGAGAGCTTCTATCAATACAAATTTCTAGTACAAACATGTTTAAAGAATGGGAGAGGGGCGTGCTTCGTCCCCATCCATGCATCTCCCTTCCGTCCCCAATCATGCACTCGTGTATTCATAGAGATTTAGTCTATGTGGTAGTGAAACCTTATTGGCGTTACATTATCAACTTTCGTTTATAAGAAGGACACTTTTGATCTAATAATTTGACGAGAAGAATAGTTTTGAGCCGAAATATAGTTTAAGGATGTATATGATCAATTTCGAATAGTTTAAGGATATTTTTGACCCTTTTCTGTGAAATTTATCATTTTGAATACAATAAATCAAACACTCAATAAAAATAACATCATAACTAATCCTATCATAATTTATCTATTATTTAATTCAATCATAACTTGAATTCAAACCAAACGACCCGTAATAGTACCATTGGTTAGCTAAAGACAAACTTTGATTACCAACGGAAAATATATTGTTTCATAACTTTTTATTTGAGAAAGAAAGTAGAAAATTGTACTGTAGGACTTTATTTATTTTCAACTTTTAAAGGAGGTAGTGTGGCAATATAAAATTTTTAATTAATACAAGTAGCTAAAATTGGATGAAACAGTGGAAGCATTCATTCTTGTCTCTACAACAGGTTGCATCTTACTATTATTATTTGTTCAAAGTGGAATATAATTCCCCTAATTGAAGGGAAAAAGTATTGTCACCAAATCATATTCACTTCCCTTACTTTTAGACACCATTCTTTGTGCTTTCTCCTCATTTCTTGTATCTCTATAATGTGTGCTTTACTTTTCATCTTTCTATAAAGGTTGGCTCAACTTCAACCCCAAAAATTCATTCCTATAAAAATAATTTTTAACGGTAATAAATATATATAATAATAAAGATTGTTAAACTTTTTACCAGTAATAGTTAATTGCTATCGAATTTAATATCGATATAAACTTTAGGAACATTATTACTGCTAAAAGTACATATTCAACAGCAATAAAGTTATTACTGTTAAATATGATTTTTTGGGTAGTAAATATTGCTCCCTTCTATACAAGTAGAACAAATTTGTCTTTAGAATTATTATCTCATCAAATTTGATATTATGTTATCTCACCTTAAGTATGATAAAGTTAATTCAAAGATAATAATCCGTGAACCAAATGACCTTATAAATTTTGGCTCAACTTCAAACAACACCACCACCACCCCCAAAAAAAAAAATACTAGTATCATAAAATGATTAAAATCCCTCTACCCTTAATTATATATAAAAATACAAAAAATCTGAGTATTAAGTGATTTAAGCATAGTAAGAAGCTTATCAATATGTATCCGAATTAATCAAGCCCTTTGAACGGTTGTGTCGTTAGGAAAAATCCCATAAAAGGTTGTTGTGAAGCGGAATAAAATAACAAATATAAATATTATGTATGTGTACAATTGTATTCTTCAAATTCTTTTATTGTACCCTAAATAATATATTAATCGATTATACAACGAGATAAGCCCAAAGATCACTATTTTAAGATGGTTAGATTAGGATCGTTTGATAGGCTGGACAAGCATAAATAATTTTCAATTAAAAATTGAATATTGTTTTATTTCTTGTTTGGCTACTAATCTTGGGATCTGTGACTAATAATTAGTATCCGGACTAGTTATCCATATCTGAGTGTGAAATCACAGTCTTATATTAATTATTCCGATATAAAATAACAAAAATCATAAAAATACCCGTAAGGTCCTTTAAACCTTTTTTTTCAGTACTAAATAAGACAAAAGGTATTTTTTATTTTTTTTAAAACAAACAACTTTTCTAATTCGCGATGCATGTTATTTTTAATATAACAAACAATCAATAAAATAAATCAACCTTAACTTGTCTTCATCCAAAATAACCGCTTAGTATATTTAAAAATATGAACATAGCACTATTCATTAGATGCTACTTGAGGAATCTAAAGTGTTATCTGAAGACATTGTAATAAAGATTTCCATACGTATATTATTTTGGATTGAAAAAAAAAAGAATAGTTGGGAGTTCATGATACAATAATATTCAATTTTGGTTATATGTCAATTGTTAGTTTGGTAGTAGTTGTTCTAAGTTGAGAGGGGAAATTCAAATGTTGTTTTCCCTATCCACCTGCCCACTACCTCAACAAAATTATGTATACACTCTTTATACTTTGAACTATCGTCATCGAGAATTGAATAGTAGTATAATATAGGAAGTTCTTTATCCATATCGCACCGATATAATTGGATAAATTCCCGAAAGGCCCAATGGAGAATTTTTTTTTTTATATCATTATCAAAAAAAAATATCGTATATTATTTTTTTGTTTTAATTTATAAGTCAAAGTTTTAAGGTATGACATTCCAAAATTTTGATTACTTAAGTGGAGGGTCTATCAGAAATAACTTGATCTCTATTTTTCAAGATAGAATAGGATCTATGTATACTCTATCTTTCAAGCCCGACTCGGTGGGATTAATACAAAGATTTGAGTAGATAGACTCACATATTCAGTGTTGTAGCTACGATTGAAACCCAAAAATATCATGTTATTATTTGACCTAATTATCAAGTTGATTGATGATCCTTTTAGGGACTTTTTTGTAGTGGATTATTGAGGCAAAACATGGACTAATGCTTTGATGATGAACATGGTGATAATGCTTGAAGATTAGTTAGGTGAGAAACTAATCTGGTCAATCGTGACTTGTTAAGCAGCATCTTAACACCTGGCTAATGGACCATTTGCCAGTTTGGTATGTTGCTTTAACAGCTATATATGGGCTTGGTCTACTTAAGAAAACCATGAAGAAAATGGCAATTCCCATCTAGACGTCCCTTGATCCTTTTTTTCTTATACATATATTTTAGGATCAATATGTTCGGTGCCTGAACAAAGTTTTATATTGTTAGTTAAAAAAAAAAAACTACTTATAAGATATAGGAATACCCCCTAGTGTGAGACCTTATGGAGAAAAGTATCATATTAACTTGGCACATAGCAGATAATGTCCATCATGTTTAATGTGTTTTTAAATTGATTTTTAGTAAATATAACTAATATTAGAATCACACTATATTGTGCTTTTGGATTGATCTAGTCAATATCTAATATTAGAGTCAATGATGTGACGAGATGAGTATGAAATTAGTGGAGTGAAATATGGTGTGGGCCAGGACTTACTACCTTTGATTGTCTGTAGGCCACCTTTACGCATAACCTTTGCATGTCTATAGGCCGATGTACAACCTTTACGCATAATTTGGAGACGTACAAAACAAAAACAAAGGGGCCTATCGATTTTGACAGTCATAAACACTCGAAAGATGTTGAATATACGAATAAAGTCTCACATTGATTGCTGGAAAGAAAAAAAATCCATAGAAGGTGTAAGACATTTTAATGGTGTTAGATATGTTGGGACAAACTGTATTTGTTTGGTCCAAAGCAGATAATATCACTATCATGTTAATAGTATTTCTAATTAATTTAGCCCTACACAATTAAACAGTAGCTGCAAACATGCAAGTCACTTTAATTTTCAAGTAGGTTTATAACCACTAGCAGAATATGCCTAGCTAGTAAATTGTAGAAGAAATGAACTTTTTAAGCTTCAGATTGACCAACAGCAATTAGCATGCTCCTTGAAGTTTTCTTCCCCAGAAAAATTAATTCCACAGATCCAAAATCCAAATCGCCAGTAATTAAAGAATAATGATCCTCACAACATCAGTTGGATATCTTTGACAATAGATAAATTAAACACTTTCTATTACTGCACAAAAGGAAAAAAAGAACGAAAAGAATAGAAACTATAATCTCTTGTTCTCTCTTTGGAGCAACTGATGTGCTCTGTGCAGCCATGTTATCGATGATGTCTTGTGCTTGAACTTCGCATCGTCACACCATGCAAAAACTTGGTATACCCAAGGAAACTCAATTTCCTATCGGATGGTCTGATCCAATCCTTGAGAAAAGCATAAGCCGTAGGGCCCAAATTCATTTCCTGCAAACACAGATATAACATCAAAAATAGCTAAGATGGATCAAAATACAGGCACTGCCCAGTACACCCTTCACTTACCTGTGCTAATTCCTCAACAGAAATGACACGGTTTCCTTCTTGCTCAAAATAATTGAAAGCGGCACTAGCAATATGTTCCCAGTTTTCAAGAGCCTCAAGCTGATATGTACTAATTGCAGCAGCACAGAACTCTTCAAAATCCATTTGCTTATAAGATAATGGTTCCAGCTTCAATTTAACAAACAAAAATATGAGTTCAAAATTGTACAAGTGATATGATGTTATGTTATGTTCAAACAAAAAGATACAAGGTGCAAGTTCATGGATTTATGATCTAGAAAGAAGAAATTTCGCATGCTTTTCAGGAATCAACAAACTGCTAGGATTTATCTTTTCATTCGGCAACTAACTATTCCTAATGCGATAGGAAAATGACACCTTTTTACTTAAATGCTACTCAGAGCGGGGCTTTCAGAATGAAGATGATATTATTTCTTGTTTGAAAGAGTGAAAAAAATGAGGTAAGCTATATACAGGAGGCATAGTAGCAGAAAAAGAAAGATAACTGTCCCATTGTATTTAAATTTAGAAACAATGAGGAGTGATGTCTTGGTCAAAGAGTCCCTTTTAGCCTATGTTGCTCAGACTCTTCCAAAATATTACCATGTGTGTGTCAGATCCACCAAAAAGCCATGCATATTTGGAGGATCCGAGATGGGCATGGCAACATTTTTGGAGAGCTTGAGCAACAAAGCATTTAACTAGCAAGGACACAGAAAGCAGAAAAGATTGCAAGAACAATGTTATCTTCTATGCCCTCTCCAAGGTTATCATAAACAAGTGCATTAAACGTGCTAAGCATGTGCCCTCACTCTAGAACCCAATAATTATCACTTAAAAGCATGAAGTGATATCTAGGACATTAATATTGTAATGCATGTACCAATACATAAATGATAGAAGTCCGAGAGAAAACGAACACAATAAGAACAAGTTACTATTATAGCATAGGTGCCTCACCAAATTTATGATGTCAAGAACTCTGGCCTCCCTCATGGCATCAGTCGTTTGTTTCATAAGTGCCTGCACAATCAATTCACGAGGATGCAATCAGGAATCAGAAGATAGATCGAAGATGGTTCGAAACACACTACACGCAAATAATTGTAATTTATTGTGAAATAAAAAATTATACAGTAAGACCACCAACCATCCTAAAATTATCGAGTGACACAAAACCAGCTTTCGGTTCCAATAAATTGAATTGAGCCTTGAGGTATATTAATTCTTCTTCTGTCAATGCTTTTGAAAGAGCCTGCATTATAAGAACAGATTGAAATGATTTACACTCTCAAGATAGAAGACTTCAAAAGAATGCTCCAAATAAGCAACAACTGACAACCACCAGTATAGGAATTACCTTCAGTGCTGCACGTTTCAAGGGTGATGTTCGAATATAAGACTTGACTAATTTAAAGATCAATATGTCTAAGGGTACAAAAGGATTTTCAGTCCTTAACCATGGATGAGCTGCAAATGCAAAACGAATCCATCAGATTCACAGGGTGAAACGGTGTACAGTAAAATTAATGAAAATTGATACATGCCAAGAGAAATCCAGATACTAAGCAGAGAGTATCTCCCTGTCACAACGTCATTGATAAACGGCCAAATACACAGATAATCCGTCAAACTTGGAACAAAATGTCAGTTAGACACCTTAACTCTAACTTGGAGTCTTGGACACCTAAACTTGGCAGCATTGTGTTTTGTGAATCCTTCAGCGAATAAAACCTCACAAAACAAAACATATTACCTTTTCATACTGATGATGTATCAGAAGATCAATAAAATAGACACATTTCATTCTAACAAACCATGTTATCCCATAATATCCAAACAGAAAAATACGAATATTTAATCTTCAGCTTGTCCCCTCCTTTCCTCGTCTTTCCAAAAACAGTACTTTTCTCTTCATAATCCTTTTAATCCCTTCAGCAAATAGCAGAAGCTTAGTGGCACGTGTTTGGGTCATTACCAACAGTACTATCAAGAAAATTTCAAGGCAACAACTGTATATGCATTCATCTTGCCTCTCCACCATGGAACAATTCTTTAGAAACAACAATTCTTTGGGGTGGCTGATTTTAAACCTTCTATGCTCTTTTCAACTATTAATTACTCAATGGGACAATGGGGTTGTAGAACATGGGGAAAATGAAAAGGCTAAAATCAGAAAGAAAGAGAGAAGAATAATTTAAAAAATCAATGGTGAAGGCTCAAGAAAGTGTTAAGGCAACCACCAACATTCGAACTGATAAAAAGAGGACTGCTCGTTGATGGGCAAGCTTCAGAGTTGGATGCTGTTATTGATGAGCTAAGACACTCAATGATGCGGTGATAGAACGTCTTCGAGATCAATCATGAGGAAGTTTCTAGAGATTCTGCAGCCAAGGCCGTAAAGTCATTGGCAGCCATGGCTCAGTTTCATCTTTGGGCGGGCTGCCAAATAATTTAACATGTCTCAGCGTTTTAGAAGCTTCTAGTTATCTCCTTTTTTAGTCAGTACACTGAGACCCGAATTTTTTTGGTTATGACCCGCTCTATAGTTCATCATGCAAGGAAGAAGAAAGATACGTTCAGGGGTGGCTGGTTCTGAGGAAGGGTGAGAAAATTGAAGACAATGTAAGGGCGATTCCTATAGTGATCTCTGATAGATGGGGCTTTTTAGAAGAGAATGAGAAAGTTAGCAGAAAAGAGGCATGTTAAACGCTCCAAAACTGAGTGTCACATGCATGGTTTGCCACATCAGTGTTTTGTATTTATGAGACATTTTAGTCAATAAGAAGTGTTCAACTGGTCATGACTGAAGATGAGGTGTTCAAATGACATTTTGTGCCAAGTCTGAGGGACGGTCTATGTATTTGGCCTTGATAAATGGAACATTCTTGTTATAAAGCAGATAAATTGAACATAAACAACTTACTCAGTGCTTGAGAAGCAGTCATTCTCTTCCTATGGTCTTTATTCAAAAGCCTTTTCACAAAATCTCTGGCCTCTGCTGACACTGCAGGCCAAGGCGAGTCCTCAAAATTAGGATCAGCTCGTAACACAGAACGGAAAATGCCAGACTCTGTACGTGCCCAGAAAGGTCTACTTCCACATAACAAGATATAAGTTATCACACCAATACTCCACATATCTGCTTCAATGCTATATGACCTATGAAGTACTTCAGGTGCAACATAATATGCACTGCCAACAATATCGTTAAGACGCTGATCTGCAAAAGCAGAAGAAATGATTGTTTACATCTTAAAGGAAGTGCGAATACCAAATTAACAAGGATAGGTGATCTCATACATGATACAGAAAGTAAATGAAAACATACCCTGCAGAGCAAATTTCATAAGCAAAAAACACCATAAATCAGGAGTACCAATCAAAATGGATCAAGAAAATAAAGCATTTCACGTCCTTATCACAGAGATTAAACTTAATTGAAATGGATTATTAGACCTGGCTAAGCAAAGAATAATTGGTGATCTGACCGACTGCGATGTGTGATAATAATGAAAAGTTGCATGCCCTATTACAGCAGAACTTTTCAAATCACACCTAATCCACTCATCTTGACATTTCCTAAAATCGATTTGTTAAGCAGCTGATTTGTTGTCCAAGGTGATAAAAATTATCATAACAGAAAGAGAAAGAGAATCATGCTGATATTTCGATTAACTTATAGTACTGAACATCTGCGGAAACAAAAGGTATCAACTCCGCTGCTTTTGATTTCTAGACATCCAATAAGTATACAACTAGTGTTTTAAAAGAAAGTTTGGGGAATCATTTTGGGAAAGAGATAAAGAAATTCACAGCTGAACTTCCTAGCTGAAAGTCTTACTTCCCCACTCACCTTACACCGAAAGCTTGTAGCTAACCATGTAATTTGGCTCACCTCTATTGCCAAATATTTTTTGATAGGGACCCCTTTTGCCAAATAAGCAACTAAAGGTTGCATCTAAGCTGGGTCTTATCTCAAAGATCTATGTCCTTTATGTAAAATGTGGAACAATGGCAAGAACTCCACAAACAGCACTACAACCTAAAACTATAGGAAAGAGTATTTGTCTATTAAGATTACAAAGCTTAAACTGATTTACTTGATATCTTTTAAAGAAACAACCAGTTGCGGCTGTGGAAATTTGTTAACGTTTAGATAAAGATTGCTTTCCTAATTATGATTAGGTTTCTACTGATTACTTTCTGCAGGTGTTCCACAGTAACTACTCCCTCCAGAGGCGAACCCAAGATTTGAAGACGGTGGGGGCACTACTAAAGGCAGATGCGGGTTAGTCAAAGCACTGACACTTCATCGGAAAATATTGTCAAATAAGTATTAACACTGAAGGTATATATAAATATCAATATAAATTAAACAAAAATATAGCATAGTTCACTCTATTGTTGGATAGTCTTGACCCTCTGTGTACAATTTGAGGTTTCTAGTTCGAACCTCGCCCAAGGTTTTTAATATGCCTTTTTTGAAAAAAAAAAATTGAAAAAAAAATGACAAAAAGAAAACGCAACACCAGAATCGAACTCAGGACACTCCGCTTGCGAAGAAGCGCAATGAACACTGTCGGACCACTGCACCAACTCAGCATATGTGTTTCAGGGTGCACAATTAATTATACGATCCTTATTGTATATACACATAATAAAAACTGAAGTAAAAGGGTGCACGTGCACCCACTCCCTCAAACGTGCGTCCACCTCTGCTCCCTCCCCTTTGTCCTACTTTCCTTTTTAATCTGTTTTAAAAAAATACATCTTTTCCTTTGTAGCAACTCTTCAATTACAACTTTCCACATTGCATGTTTAAGACGATATGATTAAAAGGTATTTTGGTATATCTGCCATATTTTTTAATTTAAGACCACAAGATTCAAAAGTCTTCATTTACTTAAACTTAGTGTCAAGTCTAAATAGGACAACCAACTTGAAACGGAGGGAGTAGTATATTATAATATTTACTTTTTTAATTTAAGACCACAATATTCAAAAGTCTTCCTTACTTACTTAAACTTAGTGTCAAGTCTAAATAGGACAAACCACTTGAAACAGAGGGAGTAGTATGTTATAATATTTACCTACAACTACAAAACTGACCAAGGAATTACACCTGCATCTTTTAAGTTAGTCACAAGATGAAAAAGAGAATATTTTCAAATTTGTGAAGCATCCTAACAGAGACCTTTTGGAGTGCGGTAGGCCCCGCCTCATCATAAAATTCGATAACAGAAGTGGGACAGGAAGTCAGAAGTCAAAACTCAAAGGGATTATTTGTAGATTATGTGCATTTTCAAGAAGCCACGGCATCAGTGGTCATTAAATGACAAGTGATAAATCAACCAAAAGGAAAAATAAAATCAAAATTGTCTGTCTTATCCAAATGCAATCATTACCTGGTTTAATGAAATCTGATAGACCAAAATCAATCACCTTCATTGGTGAATCTTCATCTTTCTTTGCAAAAAGAAAGTTCTACAAGAAAATCAAGTTACAGAAGCAGTTAGATCAGTGGAATAAGCGGAGAAAATCTCCCCAAAATGTGATTCACATTCGTGTACATTTTTAGTGAGGTTGATTTATATAGTACCTCAGGCTTCAGATCGCGGTGCACCACACCTTGAAGATGACAAAAGGCGACAACATTTAGTATTTGAACCACAATACTTTTGGCATCCTCCTCTGTGTATCTCCCACCTCTGGGAAGGGAATGAGAACGACATTTTAAATTTAACTTTCCATTTTATATTATGATTAACATCCAAATAGCAAAAATTACCTTGATAGAATTCTGTCCAATAGTTCCCCGCCTTCACATAACCTATTATATAAGAAAGCATTGGAAGAAAAATAAGACGTAGAGAACTCACTTCATAATTAAGTTAAGGCAACAGCAACAACCACATCCTAACCAACAAATACTCAATATCCATTCCGTGCCATTAGTTCCTCTTTCATTCAAATACACAAGTCTCTGACATTAATTGAGATCATCTAAGTCTAAATTTATTCTTACACTGACATACAAATCTTTGACTAACTAAAAAGACTTCTGTCAAGAGTGACCTAATTGAAAGTTTACCAACGTGATCGAATTATCTTAAGGCCATTTCAAACTATCATACCAACAATCTGGAGGCTATCAAAGGTAAAAAGTTTGGAAATGAAGATCTTGACAAAATAAAGAGGTACCTTATCAAAGCATAAACTTCGTGTAAAGAAATGGTTTCTGACATTAATCGAAAGCATCTATAGCGAAATCAGCGTAACTGAAGTAAGACGAAATTGAAGGGAAGGAAAGACGTACTCCATTACTATGTAGACATTATTGGCATCCTCAAATGCATCATAAAACTTGACAAGATTCTGATGTCCAGATAAGGCTTTCAATATCTTCACCTCCCTTCGAACATCTTCGATAGAAATAGCGGTTGTCATCTGCCAAACAACATTCATCCCATCAACAGCCTACTCCCAAGTCAAACTTAACACCTATTTTCATGTCATTTCCAGAAAAGGTAGTATCCACACAATGTAAAGGTGATCCCACTTTAGAGAGAAGGGGGTGGCATATATTTGAATTGCAATCTCTCCTACCAAAACGAATGTCCACCTTTATATATATACACACACAGAGAGAGAGAGAGAGATTGATATATGTTACAACCACAACCTCAAGTGTTAAGAATCACCAGAATTAAATAAAATGCTTATGAATGTAGCTGACAAGCATCCAACTGCTTCGTATAATATCTCCGGTTACAGGATTTCATATATAAGTCAGACTAAATGGAGAATCAATATTGACAGAGACAAATGAGGCCCTGGTTAGTTGTCTTAGTATTGCATCAAGTCTGGCGCACTTGTTTTAACACCAAGAGATAATTCAAAGATATGTATGCATATTCACAGCAAATTATCAGTCACCTTGTAGAACAGCTAAGCTTCTTAAGTTTCTAGTAATTGCCTTACACCATTACTAATCTAATCTTATAGTTACACTGGCTTGAAACAATTCATTTTTCTTAGATATCTATTAACCTGTATTCTACAGTGTGCACTTTTTTCGCAAAACATCCCATGGACATTACACTGGACAAAATTCCCAAATTCCAAAAAGGGAGAACTCCGAAACTACAATAGACTTCCACCTACATTATATAGCTACCTGTGATATCTTATGGATTTAATCGGAATTAAAAAGCTTCTCTAGATTGGGTGATGTTGCACCCTCATAAGATCATAATTGAGTGAAAAATAGCAGCAAATTCATACACATACCACACACCTTAGCTTTGGAAATGATCTTCACAGCCACTGGCTGATTTTTGAGTTCGCCTTTTTTACCTTTTGCCCAACAAGTATGGCCGAAATGCCCTCGACCCACCTCCTTTCCCAATTCATACTTTGATGTCAAATTTTTTGGATAGCCGAAGCTTTTATCAAGCTGTCTCTCGCCTTCACCACCTTCATCTTCCGGTATTGGCCCTTCTTTCGGCTTTACCGACGTCCCTCCCTGACGCTTAAAGATCGCTGATAGTATAGGTTTCGCCGGCGACGGCGGTGGAAATGGCCACTTGAATTTCCTTCTCGGCGTTCCAACCGGAGATGGCGATGGAGCTATTCCAGCAGGATACGGGCTCTGAAACGGACTGGCTGTAAATGAGTGAGCTGGCGTACTGTTGTTGGTGTAACTCATCCCATTCCCGACTGATTGACGTACCGGTGAAGGTGGTGGTTTAGGGCGATTGTTGGTAGATACCGCAGAGTTTCCATCTCCGATAGCAACAACGCTACCACCATTTTCACCAGAAACACCCTTACTGCAACACTGCCCCATCGAGAAAAACTCCGATCACCGCCAGTCAAAGTCCACTCATGCGACGGTCAACAAAACCAAAAAGTAGAAAACAATCACCGGAGAAACGCGTCTTCAATAGAAAATGAAAAATCTACACCCCAGAAAACAGAATAAATAAAAAATACTAATAATAATCAGATTTTGTAAATTTCAAAGTATGTAGATATTAAAAAGAAGCCAAAGAAGAAGAATAAATCAAATAAAAAAAAATAAAAATAAAGACTGTAGTAATTGTTGACATTAAAGACATTTGTGGATCAGAAATATGACGTCAACACGTCAGAAATCTCAAAAAACCTTAGCTCTTAATCACCTTCTAATTACACTGTTAAACACAAAAAAAATCTGATTAAAATGAATACAGAAAATTGCAAATGGAGGACAAAAAGAAACAGCTTAGACGTTGAACGGCCCAAGAAGTTTCTTTCTTTGGTAAAATCGCTGCTTTGAAACTTTCTTATTTGTGCAACTTTCAAAACGCCGTATATTATAAGTTAGCAGAAAAAAAAAGTCAGTTAAAATCAGTGAAAACACATTGCCAACTTGTCTTTTTGTTAGACTTTTCACATCATCGCATAAGTTAATTAACAAAAATTAAACATAGGTTTTCCCATTATACATAATAATATTTTGGAATATCCTATTTCAAACATGTAAAATATTATCGATAAAAAAAATTTCAATGTATTTCAATCATGTTAATAAGTTTGGAGTGTTCTCATTTATCTCATGGTTAATTGAGAAATAACTGTTTTTAACGTGTTACGTTTTAACTAACTTTTAAATTTTGCGTATATTAACTTAATACCTTGTTCGGTAGAAAGGATAAGGGAATATTAATTACGAATTAATTGTCGGACGAGCTTATCTCATGTATAGTTGGGATAAAATCGCAGAATAACTTATCCCGAGATTAGTCATTGCGATGTTACTTTGTTTCCATATTGACGGTGGATAATAATCTCGAGATAATTAATTCTGATATGACTTGTTCTTCAATCAAACGTGCCTTAATAATACTAGATTAGCCTTATAAAGCGACAAAAACCGTAATTAATTAGAATAAGCAATCCAGATCGAATTATTTCATTAATGTTAAGAAGTTTTTAAAATGAAAGTAATCTTCAAAAATACCTCAAAATAATTGCGAAATCAACTTATTTCAAAATAAACATAAGATAAAATTACTCTCGAATCTTATCTCAAAATTATTATTTTTATCCCGCGTAAAATGATAACTAAAGTGTGCAACCCCGAAACTAACTAGCACTTAATAAACATATTGATTGGGTTGGGAGGGTAAAGTATATCAAGTAAATTAGATAAGGCACTTTAAAGCAAATATGGTGGAAATTTTAGAATGGCAAATTATAATAAATACTAGTCAACTACCAAAAAATTATGTGGGCAAGTCAAAGTAATTTGGTGTGTTTATTTTTCAATCTTCTGGTGCCAAACTAAATAAGGCAAATACAATTATTGGGAGCAAGTGTAACTGTAAGAGTAGTTGTAAATTCAACTACCAAATATTGAATCTTCATTAATTTTCCATGTTAAGAAAAAGACAGAGAAAAAAAAAGCAATAAAACTTTTAATTTTTATTTTGAAGGTATAAGATTTAAAATTTTCTATTTTGATCTTTAATAAAAAATTGCAAGATTAAATTAATATAATTTTTGATTAATTTAGTCATATGATTATACTAAAAAGAGATATATTTATTTTGGATTTATGGATTTCCTTCTTTTCTTTGTTTATTTTTCTCAAAAATTTTGCAAATAAATTGATGTTGCAATTAATTAGTTATTGAACATTTCTACTTCTAGATTATTGTTCTGATCCATTATATTGTGATACATGATACAAAAGTAGAATTTTAAATAAGAAACTTCATTTGAAATGAAAGTAATTAATTTAAGGCTTCAACATTTTCTATCAAATTTTATAAAAAATGTATGCGTGAATCTCCTCATATGTGGCTCATGACAGTTGAGGTGGTCCGATTCATCATTTTTTTCGCAAATAATATAGTGAAATTAAAAATATTTTTAAAAAATTGAAAATACGTGTTGTTTTCTTTACTTATTCTTTTTCTCTTGAACATTGATATATTCATAAACTCAGGATGTGAGACTGAGTTTTCATAATGAAAATGAAGAGAAAATAGTAGTATTCTTAATCTCTGAGTTTTTAGTTTGATATGATTTCAATTCTTGTGTTATTTACTATCTAACGATATTTAACATTTAATTAAGTTGAATTTATGGGTTTGGTCCAATCGCTATAGAGGTAGATGGGAGTTTAGATCCTGTTTTGATTTTCGTATGAAGAAAAAAATTCTAATATTGATCACTTTTTTTTTCTTATTTTAAAATCATATAACTAATGAAACAAATTTTACTAACATTTTACTTATGTTATTCAAAAATATGAGATTTCAAAGTAAAAATAACTTTGAAAAAAATAATCAAATCATCTTTGAATTTTCTATAACGTTCAAAAGTTGGTAAAAATGTACTTATGAGGAGAGTTATTGGAAAGAAAATTTATTTGGAAATTGCTCTTTTACTTTTTTGGACCAACACTAATAACTAACATTAATTTTCATTTATAGTTACTGGAAGATCAATTAATATTATTAGTTTCTTAAATTAAATCACATGTTTTATTTAGGTAAAGATTAATCAGTTTGAGCAACATAATGTATGGTGTATTATATTTATGCAAAATGCATGTATTTGTTAATGAATGTGTGTGTTGAGAAGGAAGAACAATATTATTTTTTTCCAAACTATGAAATTTTTGCTTTAAGAAATTAATCAATCAATCATGGCTTTTTTATTTTATTTTTTTTAGATTAGCACAAATTGCAAATCACAGGTTACAAATGCAATTTTACACGTGTTTACTACAAAAGTTGTGTTAACAAAGGTCTTCGAAATAGAAAGTATATGATATTTGGTGCAAAATAGTTATTACATATTAAATATGGAAAAGAGTATATACTGATATTTTAGTATTTATTTTGATATTAATAATTTCAGAATAGATATTCTTATAAGAATGTATAAAAATAATATCTCAATCCTAGATATTCGAAAAAATATTTTGGACAATGTTACTTATATAAAATTTGTTTTAAAAAAATTATAATACTAAATTCAAATCTATTGCCATTGCTACACCAATTCAAGTATTCAATACTTGTTTTTCGTGATTATCTTAATTTAAAATTTTAGCATAGCAATAAAAACATGTTTAATCAACCAACACAAGTTGTAAGCTAATAGACTTTGAGATTAGATTTTCACTTCTTTCTATTTTTACATTCAATTATTATTATTATTATTTTATTATTATCATCTAAAATAAATGTTTATGAAATTTTCATACATAATAAAATATATTCTTGATAGAATAATGATATTGTACTGCGAAACAAATTTTCCACATTATAAAAGATGAAAAAGTTTTTTTTTTTAAAAAAAATTAAGTATTCAGCAAAATCAACTATAAAATTATATTTAAATCCAATACAAATTTGTATACGCCTCTTTGACTTTGTAATAAGAGTTGTGCATCATGTGATTATGATAAACCATATACATAAATGACTAATGAGTATACTGCTTCTATTAATTGGCTTTGTAGGATATGATAGTAATAGAAACTATATTTTATTTTTATGTTATTATTATAATTTTTGAGTATTTAAATTCATTAAATTTTACCAATTACTGCTAAATGACATTTAAAAATAAAAATTTATCGAATCGTATTAAATTGAAAAAAAATCAAATTTATTTTATACATTATATAATAATAAAAAAATAATTTGATATAATTTTTTAAAAATTTTCTACTGAACTAGACCATTAACACCTTTATGGGTTGATACTTTTAAGTAGAGGTACTTACGATTTGGATAAAAGTCGAAAAAAATCGAATCAAATCAATTTTATCTGGTTTGGTTGGTTTGGCTTTTAGAGTTTTGAAAATTGATAATATTTGGTATATTTCTGATTTTATTCGGGGGAAAAAATAAAGAAATAGTCGAACCGAACATTAACTTATGTGCATATGTTTTACTAATATACATACTTAACACTATATTATTTTTATAAACGGTGTTAAAGATCTTATATATGTTCTCATTAAAATTTCTTTATAATTTACTTATTGAAATGAAAATGTCTAAAGTGAAAACACTTATTGATTTCATATTTATGAGTATCTATAATTTGTGGAAACGGATTAGGGTTAAAAATACCCTTAAACTATCTGAAATGGCTCATTGATACTTAAACTATATTTTGGCTTAAAACTACCCTTCCCGTCAAACTATTGGGTTAATAGTGCCCTTCTAATTAACAAAATTTGTTAAATGCCATGTGGATGCCACATGGCACGCCAATAGATTTCCATTGCCACATAGACTAAAAGGAAAAGGGTCAATAGTATTCTTAAACTTTTCGAAATAGCTCATATTTACCCTTAAACTATATTTCGGTTCAAAACTATCCTTCCCGTCAAACTTAGCGAAAGTTGTTAAATTCCACATGTGCCACATTGACTAAATCTCTAAATCTTAATTGCTCATTTTTCCCTTATTTCATTATTTTCCATAAAGTATTCGCGGCTAAGGTTTCACAGTTTTCTTCGTCGCTGGATTTCAAAGTGGATATTTGTGGTTGTTGGTTAGTAAACTTTTTTCTTATTTCATTGTGTTTACAACCACGAAAATTCACTTGAAACTCAGGTCTGAAGAAAGTTATGAAACCTTGGCCGCTAAATGACGGGAAAGTTGTGAAATTCTAACTATCATACTTTGAAATCGCAAACGTAATAAAATAAGAAAAAATATTTACTAACCTACAACCATGAATATCCAATTTGAAACTCAGCCCCGACGAAAGCTATGAAGTCTTAGTTGCAAAATTAGGGGAAAGTTGTGAAATTCTAACTATCATGCTTTTGAA